GTAGTATTTAAATTTAGTTTACATTCTTCGAAAAACTAAATGTCGAAATTTTTTTTTATGCACTGAATTCTTAATAGTCCAAGAATCTCATGAACGCTGCGTATTATCGAAAAATACCAAGAGACCTTTTAGAGTACTTTTGTATGGTAGTATTTAAATTTACTTTACATTCTTCGAAAAACTCAATGGCGTACTTTTTTTTGAAAAAGGTGCCACGCATCCCTACCTTTGCACGCCACTGGCTAATCCGATAGGACTAATATTCTGTTAATTATGAGAACCCCCAATACGCAAAATGTGTACCAAGTTTGAATCAAATCTACTCGTGGATAGCCGAGATATGTCAAAAAGTGTTTATTTTTTTTTAACTTCAACGCCCTGTATCTCCAAAACAAAGGCTTTCATAAAAAAAATTTATAGAGCAAACTGCACTTAATTTTGGATAGGGAATACATTCCTGCATTTTCCAAATTTAAAGTGAAAACACCCTGTATACAATAGTGTTTGTTAAATGCAGCATACCTAAAATTGGTAGGTTAACCTCTACATCTTCGATATCATCATCTAATTCTTCTAGAGGAATGTCGTGTTCAATACATAAATTATGTAAAACAACACAAGTATAAATTATTTTCCCGGAGACTGTGGGAGAATAATGCAATACGCGGTGCTTTAGAAGGCATCTAAATCTTTGTTTTAATACCCCAAAAGCCCGTTCAATGCAATTCCTAGCTTTAATGTGTGCCCTCGTATATCGACCTTCTGGTGTGTTCTCTTGAGCATCCATTATGGGAGTTAATAACCAGGGTTGTAGGGGATACCCACTATCTCCTAGAAGTCAATTTCTGGTACCATTTAAATGCTGACCCTGCAAATATCTATTTACTGTTGATAGAGCCCATATAGCAGCATCATGGGTTGCCCCAGGATATCTAGCATATATTGCCAAAAATTTTAAATTTGAGTCGCATATCTGAAATAAGAATAAATATATATTCTAAAGTTTTACACACACAAATGAACAACTTACAGCCCGTGTATTTATACTATAATAACGTTTTCGATTGTAGTACGCAATTGCAGGTGTAATAGGATGATCCACAGGAGGTGATACGGTTGCTATATGGGTACAGTCAATCGCGCCACAAACATTTGGAAAATTATATTTTTCCAGAAATCTATAAACAATAAAAAATTATATAATTAGGTAGATGCTATAGGTTTAAAACATTTAAGCTATGTTTTCAATAGATTTCAATTTTCAGAACAAATAAAAATTCTAAGTAAGTATAATACCTCCCCATTTTGTACTATTTGAATATGTTCTTGGTCTGTTGGGAATTTTATATAGCGTGGAAGTAATACTGTACTAAAAATATGTGTTACTTCTTCTATAGAATTGCTTATGAGTGACTGGCTTAAACTTATATTGAAGTCCATTCCCACAGACTTTTGGTAATTTCCAAATCCAAGAAAGTGTAATGTGGCAAGAACCTGGAAAGCGAATTTTCTAATCAACATACAAGTAGATTACATAAATGTACACAATACTAACACGTATGTGCTTCGACACATATGTAGCCCTGATACCATCTTGCATGTGGGGTTCTACTTCAGGTAAAATAAATGCAAAATCATGTGCTTGGGTAAACGATACATATTTCTGAAAAAATTTTCAGGCATTTCGAAAGGATTGCTGGTATCCCTGAGATTTTTTAATGTACTTCTTAACTGTCTCCTGAAGAATATAAAAACTTCCTATATAAACGTTTATGTTAACTGTTAAACTAAATTATATTTACCTTCTGTTTTTTTCCTCTACTGCCTGAAATAGATTAGCTTTCAATAAAACGCCAAATATATCCATCTTCCCAACCAATTCGTTTTTTAACCACTAACTTTAACAATTAACAACACCTAGTTCAGCTGTAGCTAAAATTAGCCACTCACGTAGCCACTCGTTAAGGTAGGTTTTCCTAGCGACAGGTTTTTTACGCAGCGCAGAACCGATTTGTCAGGAGCGTTTAAATGTATTACGCGGCGTGAAAGTGTTCTCCTAGAACAGCGAGTTTCGTTGACGTTTTATTACAAGAAAAGCGTATTTCGTCGGCGGGAGTCAGGCAGTGGACGAAATGGACAGAAAGAGGAAAATGTTGGCGTTGGTGTTGATCAATGAAATGATGGAAGATGACCAGGAAGAAGAGTTCCTGCTGACGACGCGACGTATGCAAAGACTGGGAAAAAAGTGAGTGGAGTCTTCAAAAATCGGGTCCTTGAAGGAATGTACTACACTTTGATAAAAAGTCATCTGCAAGACGAAGAAGAGAAATTTCGCCAGTATTTCCAACTGACCCGTGAAAGGTTCATCTTCGTTTTGAAGCTCATTGAAGAGGATATGACAACCATCCCTTGCAACAGAGTGAAGGAACCTATAACAGCAGCCGAGAAATTGGCCTTCACAATAAGGTAAGACAAACAGCCAAACAAACAATAAAATTCAGAATTATATTTTATTTATACAACATATCACCACCATAGCCTCCACAATCACACATGTAGGTACTTACATCAGTATCAAAAGTAGCATTATTAAGAATCATCATTTTGAATGGCTTGTGCAAAAGCCTCAGAAACCATATCATAGGTGGCGTTCGGACCTTCTGAACTTGGAGTGGTCCAAGGTGACGAGGTTGATGATGAGGCGTAGAACGACTCGTTTCCTCTGTACTCAATGTTTGTAAATCCTGTGGCAGGTGGTTGCTGGTTCAGAATTTCCATTTCTGTGACAACTTTGAAGACACTAGCTTTCGTCTTGGTGGCAAGGTCTGGTCGAAATTTCTTCACTGTAGCTGCTATTGTTTTGAAAAACAAATCAATATCATTTTCATTTTCTTGAGGTAGTGGCTGTCGCACAAGATCTTCCAGGCAACGTTTCAAATGAACTCTGTCTTCCTTTCTCTCGTCCAAATATTTCTGGATTACAAGTCTTTCTTTGCTGGTTTTGGAAGCGGAAGGTCGAAATACGGCGCTGTTATCTGAAGATTGGGTGGATGCTCTTGTATTCTGAGAGGAAGATGGCGTGGTTTGAGTCAGCTGAGGTGATCTGTTTAGGGGATAAGGCTGTTGGTAGGGTCGATCATCTTCCTCATGTTCTTGTAGTTCTCCTATATCTTTTGTTGGCTCAGTGGGAGTTGATGCTCCATAATCGGATGGAAGAACGTTTGTAAAGCTGCTTCTTTCATCTTTCATAGTATCCAAATTTGCAACCGTTCCCAGTATACAGCTCTTTTTTTCTTGGCGGCTTTTCCTGTGGAACCTTTCTCGTCTTTTTTTTCCCTCTTGTAGTGATCCCTCATGCTTTTCCACCGTTTCTTGCACTCACTTCCTGCAACAGAAAAACATGACTCATATTCAAATCAACACTGTAATCATGATCGTAAACATTGCTTCATTATTTTTTCCCTAACCACTTGTCTTTCATAATTCTAGGTTCGTCACCCAATACTACAAAATATTGTAAACTTGTTTCAGGTTTCTGGCCACGGGGGAATCGTACAGATCATTGTCATTTGGTTACCGCATCTCCCACTCTGCTATCAGCACAATGGTGCCTAATGTGTTGGTTGCACTACAGAAAAAGCTTGTGCCACTTTTTTTACCTCCTCCTGACCAGATAGCCTGGGAACAGAAAGCCGACGAGATTTGGAAACGTTGGCGTTTTCCCAACTGTGTAGCTTCCATTGATGGTAAGCATGTGAGAGTTGTAGCTCCATCCAAATCAGGAAGTCTTTACTTTAACTATAAAGGATTTTTTTCTGTGCTGCTTCTTGCAATGGTCGATGCAAACTGTAAGTTTGTTATTATTGATGTGGGTTGGTATGGGAAGGAGGGTGATGCAGGGATTTACATGAAGTCAAAACTGGGAGAGTTGGTGAAGAATGGAACTATATTTCCACCTCCCAAAACCCTTCCGCATTCTGGTATCTTGCTACCTTACGTAGTAGTTGGCGACGATGCTTTCAGTTTAAGTGAGCATATGATGAAACCATATTCCAGGGCACAAATGTTGGTAGATGAAAAAAAAAGAACATTCAACTACTATCTCAGCAAAGCCAAGAGAACGTCTGAAAACGCTTTTGGCATCTTATGCGCCATTTTCAGAATTTTTTTCACTCCTATACATTTGAAACCTGAAACCATTGACTCGGTTATCGTTGTTAGCTGTTGCTTTCACAACATGTTGAGGGATAATTATTTATCCAGGAATCCTTCGAACAAGGAGAGAATATCAAACTTGGAGGATTTACCAACCCAAAACCTAATTGATTTAGCAGGCACTGGTGGTTATGCCAAAGCTGAAGGATTTCAAGTGGGAAGCCAGTTCACCGATTACTTCAGTACGCACCGACACATGCCTGCAGAGTAAAAAAGCACTGCCATCAAATGATTCGGACTGTTGTAGCACCACATTGGCATCCAAGTTTGCACTACAACATTAAAACGTAATGATGCTTTCTCTACATACCTACATTGTAAATAAAAAACGCTGCAAATTATTTCACAAGGGTTTATTCCTTTTTATCCTTTCCCCTCCCTCCAGGACCCCTCTATTGAAATGAAAGAAAATAATTAACCAAAACACCCTAAGCTCCATGATGTGGCAATACCTTGGGTTCCGGCTCACCACCATGCACTCGGGTGTATGGTGTGTGGCCTATACTTACCGTTAACTTTATTTTTCTATATTCTGGTCTAGTTATTGGGTTGACCTCTGATTGACCCAACGGACGTCCATCAGTGGAATTTGCATAAAAAAATAGTGCGTCCTGGCATATTGGGCCTGCATTTTTATAGGTTTGTATTTATCCATTTATATATACTTCATTATTATGTTATTAGTGTTAATCAGTCATATTTTCATGTGATATTTGGCCAGTTTGGTAAAAAGTTCCCCCGAGCACGTGGGTTTATTTTTATTGTTTGTTAAAATTTTTCTGTATTCATCTGTGCTCTACATTAATTAGTTTGCAACGTCTCCTGTTCGACGTTTGTACTATTTGTATTTTTGTATTTTTATAGTGAAATCTCCACTGGTGGGAGCACGAAATAAAACCGCTTGTCTCAACCCAATTGTATGTTTTAATGGACGGGGCAACGTTTTCAACAATTTCTCAACGTTACAATGATTTTTCACCATTTTTCATCGTTTGAGGGGAGGTTATAAATTTTTTTTGCTATACGATCACAAAGGCTTATTATTGGAAATAATGAACCAAAATTGTACAAATTTATATAAATAAAGACAGAGTGACAAACACAAATGTGATTGCTATACTAATAAAAGTAAGTTCGGCACTCACCTTCTTTCTGTAGAAGTTTTCCAACTTCATTTCACATCAAGTCTTTTTTCAACCTATTTTTGAAATCTGCGTCCTTCATATCATACAATATAGTATGGTTCTGTACAAATTCGATCAAAATCTCGTCTTCGTCGGGAGAAAACCGCCCTGCTGCCGATTTCGCCATATTCTGTGACATGTTGAACACAAACTGTTGAGAAAAAAGTGTGAATAACGCGACGTACGACGCAATAGACCCCTGCAGAAGCGGTCGGGTCCACCTCGTCAGCGTTACACGTTCCACGTTGACGTGGTGCGCTCTGTAAGAAAACGCTCTCGTTCAACTTGTAGGAAGGGGTGGTCGACGTAAAACGCTCCGCGTATCACGTTGACCACGACGTAAAAAACCTGTCGCTAGGAAAACGTATCTTTATGTATTCTGATCAGTAGAGTATGTTGGAGNAAAGTTAATCAATTAATCATTGAAAATTTAGATTCCAGTTACGTACTTAAAATGAACGTGGAAATAGACGACCAAAATAGAAAAAGAAGTTTGAGAATAAGTGGAGAGCAAATGGAGGCAATACTATCGTTCATAGAGACCAATAAAGTAATGCTGTCTGGAAAATTGCATCCTCAAGATATAAAGGAAATTGATAAATTGTGGCAGACGCTAACAGCCCAGTTAAATAGTTTAAGAGGTGCTAGAAAAACCATCGAGGAATGGAAAATACTTTTTATTGAGTGGAAGTCTAAAACAAGGAAAACAGCTAGAGAAATAAGAATTGATCAAACTGGAAGAGGTAAAGGAAAAGTACTTACGGAATTAGAGGAGCGTCTAATGAGCCTTATAGGGTGGATATTTGTATTAGGAAATGATGAGTTACCAGCAGAAATTGATCCCAATCCTGAAAATGGTATGCAGGAAGGCAGGGATGGGCAAGTATAAAATTGACAAGGTTGTAAAATATTACGTTTTTTACAAACGGTAAAATAAGTGTATCTTACGTACAAAATGTACATATTTTACATGTAAAGTATAAAATTCAATATTTTTTCTAGTTACCCATCCCTGCAGGAAGGTATGGAAAGTGAAACCATTAAGAACAACGAAAATATAAACTATTCGAATATGTGTTCTGATAAGTATGTTGTACCTAAAGCATCACAAGGATGTGCATTTTTGAAGGAAAGAAGTACAAAAAAAGGAAAGGCAGTTGATTCAGGAGGGTCTCAGCAGCAGCAGATGAAGGAAACCTTAGAATTTTATGCAGAAAGTTCCAAAAACACTGCAGATGCAATAACTCAGTTATCACAAAGTATTACTTAAGTGGCTGATGTTATAACAAAATATGCTAATGCCATTGAACTATCTGCAATGATAGAGGTTACAAAAAGTGGTATTACTGTAGAACCGTATGAAGAGGGTTACCTGGTGTCAAAATAGGGGTAATTATTTTCTTAAGTGTAACCTCAAAATTTTCTGAAATTTTGCCTATCCCTATTTTCGAGGGTGCTGATCACGAAAATATTAAATTATTATTTGGCGGTTGAATGTAGTTTTCGAGAAAAAAAAATCTAAATTATGAACTCTACAGTATATAAAGTCGAAGTTGCATTACAGCCAGCATATCCACCATTTCGTGGCGTCACACTGTTGTCAAAATGAAAGGGTCTATATTGTACCTTTGACCTTATGTACTTTATACACAGAGTTCATAATTTAGAAATTATCTTCTCAAAAACTATATTCGATCACAAAAAAATAATTTCAGGTTTGTGATCATCACCCTCGAAAATAGGGGGGGTAGGAAAAATTTCAGGAAATTTTGAGAGGGTTATGCTTAAGTAAATAATTACCAAAATAGGATATCACTTATTTCTTTAGATATGTAAAATATTTATAAAGTACCTAGTCTATTTAGATTGTGCTGTTTAATTATTTATTGTTATTTTTTAGAATAAATTATTTTATTTTTAGTATACTATACCACTCTAGATTTGTTTGATAGTGAATATGTGAAAAATGTATGTACTAAATCAACGTAACTGGCAAGTATTTATTCAGTAAAAATACATAAATACTTAGACATGTTGAAAGTGATTATTTATAAGATTATTTCGAGTCCTTCTTCCTGCCGCTAGCCAATAATTAGCATCTTGCAAACCATCTAAAAAATAATATATAAATATACAGGGTGTAACGGATGCTGATGGCCAAACTTCAGGGGGTTATTAAACAAGTAATTTTCAACAAAAAAGTAATATAAGATTTTTTTGGAATGTTGATAGTTGCTCTTTTATTTAACATTTTTTGATTTCAAAAAATTTTGCTCCTTTTTTCATAAAAACAAAAATATCTCTGTTATTCTTACAGCCACATCAAATTTAGACATACCATCGGAAAGAGCATTAAATTTACTACAAGACGAGCATATATGAGTGTTTAAAAAATCTTCTATACCAGGTGCTGTAAAAAGTTAAATGTAATAATTGTGAAATGAGCAAAATTAGTGGTATCTCCTTATTGGTGGTAACGCCAAAAATTTGTTAATGAGGACGTGTTTTTTCTTCAGCAAAAACTACTGTATTTAGTAAGCTCTTCAACGATATATCAACTTTTGAGTTTACTATTTTTTTTTGGCAACAATATCAAGGGCAAAGGTAATAAACACCGTAAAAATCGAAAATACACAAACTTTATAGTACTTTATTTTTATTTTAAGACTGCTTTTTTAAATTAAAGTAACAAAATTGTTGAAAAAATTATTTATAACTTAGTAACATATTTACAATGACTTAATAATTTTCGATGTAACCTCCCCCTTGACGGATACATAAAGCGCACCTTCTCCGCACGGAAGCAACTGTGCGACGCACTTCTCCATTTTGCTGTCGAAGTAGCTCCCAACAAGCAAAAATCCTTTGTTCGAGCTGTTCTCGAGTTTCAATTGGTACTTCATATACCAAAGATTTTAATCTACCCCACCAAAAGAAGTCTAACGGAGTTAGATCAGGACTTCGAGGAGGCCACCTAACTGTACCAAAGCGTCCTATCCATCTATCTTCATAATGCTCATTTAGCCATGCGCGAATCTCCCTGCTGTTATGTGCAGGGCAACCATCCATTTGAAGCCAGGAATTAATCCGAAAATTTAAAGGAACTTCTTCTAATATATTATGCAGTTCGTTCTGAAGAAGATCAAGAAATGCCTCTGCATTTAATGTATTTTCTAGTATAATTGGTCTAAGAACGTAATTTCCAATTATACCCATCCATACGTTAACTTTGAATCTGTATTGATTATTGGAGGGCCTGACAGCATGAGGATTCACAGGTGCCCACGTATGGTCATTATGATAATTAAATATGCCATCTCTGGTAAATGTTGACTCGTCAGTCCAAATTATATGCTTGTAAAATTG